CGGGCCCTTGCATCGCCAAGCTCTGGACAAGGAGTTTTAAAACTCCCGCTCTCTGGAAGACACCAGCCTAATGGGCTCGCGGGCGAGTTATTTGTTAACAAGCGTTATCCACCCACTTTCATGACCGTGCAAAAGACCAGTGATGACTCCCTAGTTAAGGATTATACCCTGAAAATTAAGCAAATCTCACACAAACTTTCTACAAAGTTCTGATCTGCACAAACGCTGGTACCAGTATCTATACCAGTGTATCAAAAGCTACATCAACCTAATAATCTCTCCATGCTGCGCTGGTCGCAAAAAAGTATTCAAATACATAAGCAAACAGACCGCTCGTCCATGACGCTGTATAAAATCAAACAGTAAGAAAAGAGTGTGCAGTGGCCCTGTGAATGCTGATAACAAATCTCACCCACTCCTTGTTTAAAAAATCTTATTGAGGGCAGCAGTGTTTTTAGAATAATCCTGAAATACCCCAAACCCCCAATCACCAGCTAGCAAAAGGATTAACTTGACCGATTATTCCTTAACCCTAACTCCCTAAGGTGTGTGCAAAAACATATTAAATTGGAGGATTCAGGGCTGTTAGGTTTAAACATTGCTTGCATGGACCGGTTTCCCTTATTTTCTCAGCCATGGAAACACTTCGCATAACCTTAGGAAAATGGCCTCAGAAAACAAAATTCATGGTGGCAGCCGAACTCTGCTCCATCAAACTTAAGACATAGGGCGACTTGAATGATTACACCCCTTCCCTATACACGCATACACACACAAGTGTGTATTTGCCTGCAACTGGGGACCCCGTATTGTTACTCTTTCGTTTGTACTTCAACCTTTTTAGAAGACCACCCATATGTTTTGTACACAGTTGTCAAGTGGGCACCCTCTGTCAATCGGGGACCTTATTACCCTCCATAGTTCAGGGTCCCCAATTGAATGCAAAAACAAACTCACGCTTACTCATAAAAGTGAAGATTTTTCTCATGTACTATCTACATGTATGGACATTTCCATGAAACCCATTACAATTAAGGAATACATAGTGCACAAAGTAATCTACACAGTATCATTTTGACCCACAATGTGGGGACCTTTTTTTCAGTAAGAACATGACCAAACACAGAGCAATGGAAGTTTTCACACATGTTGATATACAAAATGAAGAATTCCATCATCACTGTGGAAGAATACCAGCCTACATTTAAATACTGACCTGCAAGGAATTAAAAAAAAAAATGAAAAATATGTGACAGACACTTTATTAATTAACAATCACACAATGGGGACACAATGGGGCAACAGAATGGGCCTGCGGACACAATGGGGCAGACATGCATGTAATGGGCCTGCGGACACAATGGGGCGAACATAATGGGCCTGTGGACCCAATGGGGTGGACAATGGGCCAGAAAAATGGCCATGCGGACCTAATGGGCCGGAACTGATGTCCATCAAGCTCTGCAACAATCACAGTGGTCTTCTACATCTGACCTTGATTGGGCAGACTTTGGTACAGAGTTGCTCTTTTTCTGTCAAAGTAAAAATTACTGATTTTGTCCTTCCAATCAGACTTTCACTATCGAAGATGTTTCCTTTCCTTTGGATACAATGTTGAAATCAATGAGTAATGAAGTAAGTTTGCAGCAGCTGCTCATGAGTCTATGCCCATCACAAACTTGGGCTAGTTACATGCATGTGTTTGTTTTGTGTTTAATCTGTTCTCTAGAGCTACATGTAGGTCTAGGTCTTCACTCCATTAAAAGCATGTGGAGATGCACAGACAATAGATCTAGCCATAGCTCTGGAAGCCCGTTTCGGACACGGCCTCTGTCTCAATCATCTCACACCTTGCTAAGAATGAAAAGCTTGTTTGATATGAAGTACATGTAGATGGCATGCTCTCTGATTCCTTTCGGGGTTGTTTCCTGAGTCATGATTCAGTCTTATATTTTTCTCTCTTCATTCCTCTTTGTTCATTTCCAACAAAAATTGAGGCTTTTTCCAGAGTCTTATTTGTACGACAATCCAAGTTTAAATGGACACAATGGCCGTCTGCTTTGCAGCTATTTCTATAATAGATGGTGGTACAGTTGTCTCTGCAATCTAGGAGATGGAAAGCTTCACATTTAGATATCAAGAAATTTTTACAGACTGGACTGACTTATTGAATTTCTTAATTTTGGACCTGACAGCATCAGACAGCATGTTTGTACCAATTCTTTGCAACTGCATCGGCATTGGATGTTTTCATAGCAGCACACTGCCCAATCGTGATCTCTTCTAAGCAGATTCAAATGAAAAGCAGCAGACAACTTACAACAATTCAAAAAAGTACATTATTCATTAAAAATTTAAAAGGAATATACATTTTCAGCGGACAAGAAGTATTATTAGTCTCTTACATGTGCAAATCTTGCTAAATCGTGGATGAAGATACATGTACCTGTAGATGTAAGAAGCTACATGAGTGATTATAATGACGGTACATGTTTATGATGACGGTACATCAATACTGTCTGGAAATTTAACATTTATGGCCAAGTTGTCAATTAGAAACTGAAAACCAAATACACCAGAAAAGTTATGTTCTGCCATTGAACATGTTGAACATCACATATTTTTACAGTAGCCTATTAAAGCAAACAGCACGGGTATATAACACTTAACAGTGCAAGGCACCTGTCACTACCAATTTAATATATTCAAGCATAATATTCGCCAACTGCCATCTGACTGTATATTGAGTGAATTTACTGAGGTTGTTTACACAGGCCCCTGCAAACAGGCAGGCAGACAGATATATGTTACCAACCAGCAATAAAGTGGATATTTAACACTTTATCACTCTGTATAAGAAGCCAGCATAAGCCAACAAAGGGACAATATCAACATTTGCAGGTATATTTTTCCCAAGGTTTTTATCAGCTATGCTTTTGCAAAGGGAGTTGGTAAGTTTGCGAGGAAATGAAATTGAGATTTCAGCCCTTTTTTTATTGTTTGATGTTTAACCTGCTGTTACTGGAATATCATACTCCTTTCTTTGCATTTCAATAAAAGCTTGGCTCCTAAAAGTTCCAGTGCCAGACTGAATGTACTGTTCTTGAGGCTTTGCTGCAATTATGCCATCTTACATGTACATGCAGCTTTGAGTGGTGGCATATCTACCGGTATGACATGTACATATATGATGGCCGGGGGAATGTATCCCCCAAATTGAAGTCTATGCCCCTCCCTCATCTGAGATTTATAAATGTACATAGCTATGATGAAAGCAATTACGCCCATATTTAGTTGCTTTCAGGCAGTGCCCCCTTGAACAAAATATGCACCCTTGGGTGCCCCTTCTGAAATTTCACCTCAGTTAAGCCACTGCGGAGGGGTAAAAAATTCCTGACTTATTAAGCTTGCAAAGATGAGGTTCTACAATGAAATAGCTGAAAATTTGATTCAACGCATCTTTTCATAAAAACATGTACCCTGCAAAGTGTATTTGAATATAAAAACTCGTTACTACTGGATTAATTAAATGTAGCCAAAACTGAAACAACAACAGTGTAAGCTTGAATACAACCAATAAACAACTTTCTGATAGATTTCTCCATAGACTGCAAGAGTTTTGAAGTTGATCTTGGATGGTATGCCCAGATTTCCATGCCAAATTCTAAAATTACACGCAAGTCCTTTGACCAAACCCAGCAGACTTACGTTATGCCCAGGGTAACCATGGCAATCCAGGCCCCGCCCCACATGTTGTTGTCACCAATCATTTGCTGGAAGGAGACGATAGTGGAGCGTTTGGTGTAGCGGCCCATGGCATACTCGATGACCAGCATGGGAATGGACCACAAGAAGAGGAAGAGGACCCACACCATCAAGAATTGCAGACAGCCTGAAAGGAGCCGGACAAAACAATGGAGAAACTAGAGAAGAATCTGGCTTCAAACCACCTCCACATTCCCTGCAAAACAATCCTCTTTCTTTCATCCCTTTCTATCGATCTGTCTCTTACACATATTTCTTGTGGGCTGATCCAGTACAAAATTTTCAGCGAGTAAAAAACGGGCAGGTGAAATAAGAGGATTTCTTTGCAGCCTTTCTTTAGGTCAAATTTAGGGGTTTTTTTTCCTGGGCGGGGCGGAAGGGAAATAAAAGTCTCCAATTACAAGCTAAAAAAAATTACATGTGCATGTACATGTAGGTACTTGTTCCCGTCACTTTAAGTAATTGTGGGATTATTAACCCAAGTGAATTAGGCCTATCTGTTTCTGTAGGGCTGAATGATTTCTACTCAGAACCAAAACCAGTTCCGACCGCTATTACATGGCATTTGGCAAAAGCTAGGGTACTGTATGCGTATAGGCACTGGCAAGTAGGTTTTTTACTTTATTTTAATACTTATTCAATGTGCAACTATTACATGAAAGTGTTATGTGGTTACCAACAGCAAGGGAGGTCATCAGGTGGAATTTGTTTCTAATGAAATTAAAATCAGCATACCGGTAGTTTAAAGGGCACTTCAGTTGTGTGCAAATACGTTGGTTGCATATTTCTGCACTAGTTATCAATAATACAGAAACTTTACAATAGCCATTTACACGTACATGTAGGACAGGTTGAGAGACAGGACGCAGCAATAATGGTAGCCAAGTTTACATGTACACATAGGCATCCCCCCCACTCAGATTTCAAACTCTACAAACTCATTCGAAGAATTGAGAATAGACTTCTGGCTTGTCTTTAAAAGAGACCCAACATCTGTTCATTCACAGTGGCATGCTGATTTTCCAGGCTAAACACAAACTATCCTTTGTTTTTGCACAGTGGTGGAATTTCCAAGAATTCACTTCTGTCCCATATTGCCAGAACGCCTTACATTTGAGAAATTTGTTTTATGGGCCAACTTCAGTAGGCAAGCCCAAAGAGTTTACCAATCAACAGTCATGATTTGCATACATGTACATGTACATGCTGCCATATGGCCAGGCTAAAAACTACCGTGTCAAGCCCCATAAAAATTCAACTTAACGTTTAATACTTTTTCTGAATCATTTATTTTAATCCTTCATAGGCCAACTGGTTGTGATAGAACGCAAGAAAAAAATTGGTTCTGGGGGAACTGTCACTAATCTCTTTGGCTTACAGAGTTTTCTTTGAAATTTTCTTAAGAGTTATGGCTATAACTACAACTTCTTTGACCTCTCATTCTCCAACCATGTTGCTGCTTGACTGGTCCTAGTTGACTGACAATACTGCAGTTTTACAATTTTCATTTGATACAAATCAAAGAGTTTATATGCAGAAGCTGATAAACACCAACTTTATTGAGCATCTTAAATGCTCTTCAAATTTTTAAAGAGGTCTCAAGCTACATATATACATCTAGATATGGTGAAATGCATGGACGTTCCCTATTAGTAAACATGGCTGCATGTACATGTACATACATGTATGTACATGTACCGGTAAGCCCTGTGTATTTTTTAAGCAAATTTTTCTTCAAGGTGAAAATGGATTCCTCTGTTTTTCTTTTATTTTTTGCATCTCAAGTCTTCAAATACTGTCTTCCTCACTAACAGAGAAATTACCATGTTGGCCTCCATTGATGGCTAAGATTCGAGGAAATCTCCAGATATTTCCCGTTCCCACCATGCATCCTATGCAGGTCAGGGCAATGCCAATCCTGGTCTTAAATGTTCCCTCCTGGCCAGTCTTTTCCGAGACCTTCAAAATATTCACAGGAAAGAAAATGTTACGTGATGTGTGCACGGCTCAGAATGCAATGACAAGCCTATACCTAAAACTATTCTCTTGGTCGGCACGAGTTCACTGGGTCTTGTATCTTGTCTCTGATTGGTTAGTGGTGGCTGTTATATATTGCATCCCCCTGAACCAACATGCCCAAAGGGCAACAAATAAAGCTGGAGTCAATGGGGAGATAAAAATTACATTATTGTCCAAGCATTACATCTACATGTACATGTATGTTAAATATTTCAAAATTTCACTAATTTATGTGGTAAGCATATCTCCACGGTACATCAAGAAAGTTCTTTTTTATTTTATAGGTGTAAAAATGAACAAAGCATGTGAGTGGCTTCCCCTTTGCCCAACACGACACGTTAATAATAATAATAATAATTACACGTATACATGTAATGGCGCATTTTTCATTTGTATATGTTCATATGCGCTTTACATAATACATAATAGGAAAAATACACCATAAATAACACATTAATCCATCAATAATACACCGTCAAGAGAACAACATCAATATTTCACTAATATATCAATAAAGGTACATCAATAAAACACCATCAAAAAGTGCATTTAACCATAAGCCATCAAATAACATCAAAAGTGCCCTATTAGTTCATCAGTAAAAAATACAGCAATAATATACATCATTGCAATCACAACCATCCAGTACATCCAGTATACATCCATTTTTATACCTTAAAAGCTAGTTTAAAGAGATAAGTTTTTACTTTTGTTTTAAATTCAGTAACCCCGATAATATTTCTTATCCAAGCTGGAAGTTTATTCCATAGCTTTAGGGCAGCCATCTGAAATGCGCAATCACCTAATGTTACTCTACACCTAACGGCCTGTGGAGTCAGTAGGATACCATCAGTTAAATGGAGACTGTACTACCTATTTTGATGAACAACAGATAACAAATCAGAAAAATATTTTGGAGCTACATGTATTCCATGTATACATTTAAACGTTAAAAGCAAAATTTTAACCTGTATACGATAGACCACTTGTAACAACAAAGAGAGTACAAAACAGGGGTAATGTGACATGCATCTTTTCCTTTTGTCTTCCTGACCCCATACAAATGAAAGCTGAGCTATGATTGGTCACTGGAATGGAAGGAAATTGCACCAATCAAAGTGCGGCCAAAATGTGTAAGTAAAAAATGCGAGTTTGTAGATTTGGATTTAAACCTCACAGTTCTGGAAGTAAGTTCCAATACTGAGGCCAAGGACTAAACTTTTAAAAACCATCATGATTCCCTTAAAATCGCACAGTTCAAGGCACAAAAGTTGCACTCAAGGCATGCAGTGTGGGGCCGTCCAGTTGCAACTTACCTCACCATTAATTTCACGATCACTTCTGCCGAACCATGTTACTATAAATCGCTAATGCAAATTCGAGCGCGCGCGTACAGTAACAGGACAGCACAGCAGGCATGAAAGCGCTGACCTACAAAAAACATAAAACAAGGCCCCAACTAAGCTACTTGAAACTAAAACATGCAGGCCTGACGTACGTTACTGAATCTTTAGACTTTGAGTGATCTACCTTTTTTCGTTCGACAAGTTTGGCTGTGTCTCCATCGTCAAGTGCCGCCATTGATGTTTCCTCCTTATCTCCTACTCGATGTACTGTAAGCACAAATGCAAAGTAATCCACTATTACAGAGCCCACATTCCCACCACATGCATGCACACGGGTGTGCCAGCTCCATTTGTTCGAATAAGTGTGCATGTACTATGTACATAGTATAGTCTTGTATAGTACATTGTATAAATCGTTTTTTTTCCTCCAGGGCCGTTTTCCAATACTCGACGTGGGCTCCGTTGAGGCTTCGACTGTTTTTTTTTACTCCCTGACTTTGAGGTTGTAAGCGCAATAGTAAGTCTGAAAGTGCTACAAAACATCAAATAAGGTGCAAAAGAGCCCAACATTACAGTACTTCGATTTAAGTTAAACCCTTCAGGCCCACAATCGGGGATTGGTTTCCTTCACGAAGCCTGAACGGAGACGAAGTTGAGTATTGGAAAACGGCCCAGGTCTGCACCTGGACGCTCCGGCGCGCGCTCTATAATTAACGCCATGGTTACACGTGCTTCGTCTGGTTCCCTGCCCAAAGATCCCTGACGACTCTTGTTAAAAAATCTTAGGGGTGCACCCTCGTATTAGGCCAGAAATTATGTCCGCCGAGCTCATTATTCTATATTAGAGGGTCCTGAGAGCCATGGAACTGGGAAATTGAAGACATCTGAGACTAAACCTCCGGGCCGGACTCAGGGCTTCCAATTCTGGGCAATTTGGATGCAATCGGGTCCGAAAGTGGCACTATTTGAGCATTTTGCAGAGGGATGGTTTTTCAAAATGGCTACTTTTCTGGACAGGGAAATTTTCTTCATTTTAGGGGTGGTCTGCTTCTGGTG